AGAGCAACTTTGCATTGAAATAATGACATTGAAAGTGTCATTATTTACCGAATGACACTTCATGACAACTGTCATAAACACTCATAAAGACTTTGTTATGTCCATGACAGGTGTTATGTCATATTTATGACAGTGTCATATCAGTCTTATGCACACCCCTTCAAATAAAGTGTTACCAAAAATTTGCTCAAAATTCACAACAGTTGGATGAAAGCATAACTTGAGAGCTGTAAAATAAGCAATGTTGGGGTGCTGTGGTGACACAGGGGTAGAGCACACCACGTCACAGGTTCAAGACTCTCAAACTACTAACTACTCTGTTTGGCACCACTAGGGCCAAACAGAAACTTTTTAAAAATAATAATAATATAATAATTATAAACCAATTTTCAAAACCAAAGAGGCCACACTGAAACCAGTTTCACTTGCCAACATTTAGAAATTTCCCGAGACCTTTGTCTTTATGTATTACAATAGAAACATGGTCGTTGTTCGTATATTGAACTCCAATCCAGAATCACACAGCATTCTGGGAGATGTAGATGCAGAGGAAAAGCTTTAGCTCCTAAAACTCTCACAGGTAGCTAAGTACTTAGCAACAACCTGTTGAGTAACTTGTGCAGGAGCAGTTTGAGGTTTCATTATGGTGCCTCATAATAAATAAAAAATAGCAGAGTGGAGAGAAAAGTGAAAATGAGATCAACTGGAGAGGAAACTGTGGATAAAATAGAAGGGTTTTTATTTAATATTTCAGATATTTAAAACGAAAAACAAATGAACCCGTAATTATCAATATTGACTGATATGAAAGCCTTAAGTTGTGATATGTTTTTCAGCAATATCGCCCACCCCTAGCTTCATGTCACATTAACAGGCTACATTCTCATTTGTCCTCTCACATGTTGCAATATCGGACCAAGACAATAAAACATGGTGAATATCCCTGATTTTGGATTGGAGCATTCCCAACTTCCTTCTGAGTGAACCAGGTCACTCTTAACACACTGCACACAACAGGAATGCCCTGATAATAGGGGTTCCTTAAGATTGTTGTAAAGGGAAAACCGGGACAAAAGTCGACATAAAAATCTTACTGTGTGAACTCGGTATCACATTTAAAGTTTCATCTGCCCTAGCATCTGAAATCACAGACAGGTGTCTGGCCATAATGCATAGCTTTCAGTGCCAACTCCCCATAACTACAGTCAAGCACAGAGAAAGAATGTTGATGATTTAGGCTAGTTTGGGGGCAGCAAGGGGCTCGTCTGATGTTGGAAGACCTGGTAAGGTCCAGCTAATTTTTCATGTCCTCATACAAACTGAAAGACAAGATGCTGTCCCTGAAGCAACTATGTATGTGTGCTGGTGGCTTAACTTCAGGCCAAACAGGGTAATCGGCTGAATCTACTCACAGAGACAGCATCTGTCCAGCCTGACCCAAATCTTTCTCTTTTCTGTCCTCCTCCATAATCCCTTCTTCCCCCTCAGCTCCTCCTACTGTCTATCTCAACACTTCAACATACAGCCCTCCAAATCCAAAGCCTTTCTTGCTTGAATGTTTTTCTGTAGGACTGATGTGCCAATATGTGGTGGCTGAAGTACTGGGTTGTAGGTGGGGTGGGTGTTATAATCCAAGTTGTTTGCTAAAGTGTGTCTTTCAGGGGGTGTCAGTCAGTCTACAAGGGTTGTCAAAAGGGGTGTTATGCTTTCAGATTGATATTCCATTGCTCTGCTTTGGTATGAAAGCATGAACACTGGATCTATAATAGTCTTGACAGCAAAATGATTGTATAACTATTGGAATACTTTAATTCTTTGCTGTGTGCACTAATATTATGGTTGCTTGCTCAACAGCACATAGAAAATCTCATGCCGACCCAATGGAGTTTAGGTTTATCTAATAAAAGTTGACAGTTTGATAATTGTTCATACAAGTAGTTTAGCTGTCAGATGTACAGCTGAGGTTAATATTCAAAGGATTATCCTGTGACAAGAGGCCATTTTGAACACACATGATCATTTTGCATCACACCTTGTGTGTGAAGGTTTTATACTCTGGGCAATGGGTATAATGGGTTGTCTCCATTTGAATCCAGTGAGGCCTTAAAGCTCACTACCTGCCAGGCTTGTGTTGCTGTATAATTACTATATGCTTAGGATGCAGTGAGATTTTCATGTAAGTTTTGAACTGTACGGGCTGTAACAGTATTATGGTTACAGGGTTCTAGTACCATTACACAACCAACGTGTTTCTGCAGCAACACAACGAGCAAGGTGTCAGGCTGGTGAATTTAATAGCTTCGTGAATTAAAGACAAAACCTCATTGTCGAGTCATTCCTCTCTTTGGCAAGCGACTGTTAGAATTAAATTAAATATTTCAAATTTTTAATAATACTATTTGGTCACAATATTGGGGGGTGAAGGATGTATAACTAGTGTAAGAATGTGAATCAGGCTGTTATGAAAACCACTTACCGTATTTTCTATTGCTTTGCCAAGTCTCTTTCTGTCTCCTTCTGCCTGCCAAAGGGGGTAGCTTACTCTAAAGCCATTTCCACAGCAGCACACTGAGTACCTTTGATGCACTTTTTCCTTACTTCTTTGTGGATTCTTTCTTTTCAGGGCCTGAAGGCTGCAGACCATGACCCCACAGCTCCCCCTTACGACTCTTTGCTGGTGTTTGACTATGAGGGGAGCAGTTCCACTGCCGGCTCCCTCAGCTCCCTGCACTCTTCGTCAAGCTGTGGAGACCAGGATTACGATTACCTTGGCGACTGGGGGCCACGTTTCCGCAAGCTGGCCGACCTGTACAGTGGAGGAGATGACTAGCGTCATCGGCCCTCCACTAATGGATCCAACCCTACTGTCCTTGCTGCAAGGTTTAGGTGGTGGGTGGGTTAAAACAGAAAATATTGGATTACATTTGGGTTTTGGCTCAACACTTCTGTATTTCAATGGACCAGCTTGTTTACGGGATCTGCTGCCTCTTGAGGGCCATCGATAATAGCAGGGGACGATGGTGACTCTTGGCCTAGCGAGGCCTTCCACTGATGAGCATCAATGGGCTGGATCTGAGAATTAACTGTTGTGCTTCTGAATGTGTGAAGACTGAGCTCCGGCAGCCATACTACAGATGCTCGCTGACACTTGAGTCTTACAGTACAGCAACACTGGGGTAAAAATGTGCCTTTTTGTGCATTCTTTTGATTGTGTTCAACTTATGTTGATTTAAAGTTCCTTAGGGTTTTGCAATAGCAACTACAGGGGCATATGCCATTATGAATGTGTGTGTATTAATAACCCCCTTCATTGTTTGTATTTATGTCTGTGTGTGTGTGTGTGTGTGTGTGTGTGTGTGTGTGTGTGTGTGTGTGTGACTTTGTGCGTGCGTGTTTGCGTGCGTGTATGTGTGTGTGTGGGTGTATGCGCGTGTGTGTGAGAGAGACAGAGAGAGAGAGAGAGAGACTGTGAATCATTTCCATGAAGACACACTGGAAAGATTATTTAAAGGACAAAGTCTACTTAAGATGTCTTGGATGATTCCACCAGCAAAACATGGCTTTACTGTGCAGCCTTGTGTCCTAACAGCTCTAAAGATGCGCATGCAGGGTCATTCATGACAACATAATATTCATTTGCTGTTTGGTTTTTGTTTTGCCTTTTTTTTTAGTACTGCCACTGTTTAAAAGCATAATCTTTTTTGTGTTTACCTGTGAATGGAACGATAAAAAACATCGGCATATTTTAAATTCAAGATATTTCTATACATCATGTAGACAGACACAAACACTTTTTGGTCTCACTATCTAACATTAAAGCAGATAAAGCCCTTACAGACGAAGGACAGTTAGGATTACCAAAATTATTTCTGTTCTCATAACAATTAGTGGATTTTTACCTTTCTATGGACTCAGAAGTTCATAGAAATTTCCTTAGAATTTAGGAAAATAGCGTCTTAAAAATTTATGATTTGGGTCAAATGTTTCCTTTCCAAAGTGTTGCTTATTCCTCCAAACAGAAGGAGGATTTGGCAACACTCCAAACTGCGCCAGGTTTGGAGACTGCCCTGCTTACTCAAACCTTGCTGTACCTATGCATTTTCCATAGGATTTTACCATCAAATCTTTCATGATGACCTCATTAAAGCATTGACGTTGGGGACCTTGCAATTTATTTGGCAACATGCCTTGGGACATTGTCCACTTGGAAGACCCCATTGGACAATGTCCCAATCTTCAGCTCCCTTCTGATGTTTTCAGGTTTTGCTGCAATGTTTTTAAACAATGTTCTTTCCTTCATTCATGCTACAAAGTGCACCACTCCCTCCTGCAGTAAAACACCCACATAACATGATGCCAACTAACCCAGCACTTCACAAATGAGATAATGTTCTCAGGCTTGCAGACTTTCTCAGTCTAATAATGTTTATTAGGGCTGAACTCTTCTAATGAGACCACACCTTTCAAGAAATGTTGGTCTTTGACCCAGAGTGCATTTGCAAAATGCAATCTGGCTTTTTAGGATGTCTTTGGAATAGTGGCTTTTTCCTTAATAAGTGGCTGTTTGTTACTCGTTTATCTTTGGAGCACTGAACCCATCTCCTTCCTTATGAGGACGATGATTTGACCATTCCCATAGTCTTTATTCTTGCTTGAACAGATGAACGTGTCTCCTCCAGGCATCTGGAAACTGAAAATCTTTCTGATATGACTAATTTTCTAGTGATTTCTCCATGATGTCAAGGAAAGAAGGATTGTTTGAATTGTCACCATACATACACAGGGTTTGCCTCCTTTTAACTCAAATATTAACAAATAATATATCCAAAGCCAAAAAACCCACAACCTTGTTGTGGGTTTTCCACAACAAGGTTTTTGTGGAAAACCCACACTATCCAAAGACATGATAATCTGAGGCTCACAGACACGTTGTTTTACCTTATTTTACCCCAGGTTTATGGTTGCAAAAAAATCAGCATTAATCCTGTAGTGGTCGTAGTCAGTCGGCAGGATGGGTTGGTTTGAAACCTTGTTAATGTGATCTGTGGTGAAGACTAGAGTCTGCAATAGTGTGAAGGTAACCAATCCCACTTAACTTCAGCTGCAGTCAAACAAGTATTTTTCAATATTCAGACACGGACATAGTTGGTTGGTGAGAACTAACCACCGAACCAACCACTGATGAGTGTTACTGATAGCAAACACTATCAGCAACACTAAAAAAGAGAGATTGGAACACAACTTCAAATCGGAGTGTTTTTTTTTATAGTGATGAAAAAGAAAAGGCAAACAACAAAAATAAAGAATAGAAATTTAAGAATAAAATACACTAAATGCTGTACAGCCATATTTAAATAGATCAAACAATTCAGATATTGAGCAAACAAATATTAAATTGAGAGTGGCAGTAATTTATATAAAGGGGTTTAAGTGCAGCTTAATTTAAAGAATTGAAATCTTAAATTCATAACGTATTTGCAGTATCCAGTCCAAACCTCGTTGTCTGTTAAGATACAAATAAAAGCATATTTAGTAAAATTTAGTAAAAAGTAAAAAAAAAATCATTAAGTCATTCCAAAACCCTCCAACAGCATGAAAAAAAATAAATGTTCCAAACTCTCAGTGCAAAAGTATTACAAATAATATAGTCAACACATCATCAAAATCACATTTTGATTTATTTTTGGAATAACCTTAAAGTGTTTTAAATTGCAACACTTTAATTTTGTAGTGGAGTGGATCAGAATTCAGTCACCACCTCCCACTAGGACTGTTTATCATTTAACTCTGAAATGGTTTCTGTTCACAGGCTGTGGAGGATTTGTTTTCTTTTATGTTGAGTCTTTTAATTTATATGTATGCAATTTTAAAATTCTTGGCAATTTGACTAACAGCCAACATATATAACATATTATATAATGTCATTATTATTCTCGACCACCAGATGGGAGTGTCTGCAAAGTTATGACTGTCCATTTTCGGGTTAAATTATGGCCCAGTGAGTCTGCAGATGAGTTGATAAATCCTGTCAGCCCTCAGCAAGAACAGCTCTGAAGTGTGTAATCCTCAGTCTTTCAGTAAGGGAAAAAAAATCTGCTGAACCCAGTCGGTTATATAGTGTGTATATAGCAGTCTTTTTGAAATCTGAAGATTGAAAGCTGTGCAGTGTGTCTCCTGCTTTTGTAGACCTCTACCTTTGAAGAAATAAAAACAACAAAACTATATAATAAATTTTTTCACTGTTGCATTATTAAACACATAGGGATTATTTTTGGTAATCCTAACAGACCTAAAACAGTGGGATTTAATGTCACACAATAAGAAAAACAGTGTGTATGCTAGCCTGTGTTTAATCACATATTTGAAAAATCTAGAATTCTAATATAAATTGAATAAAATAAAAATGTGGTTCAAAAGTGAAATTTAAAGAGCAAATGTTAAAGGAGTTCTGCATGGGCTACTTAAGTGACAGGTATTTGTTTGAACATCAGCAGCTCACTCAAAACCAACCAAATTTATGATTCTTCTGTCTTTGAAGAATCTCCATCCCATAAACTGTTAGAGTAAACAGAGACCCAGATTAAATTTACATACAAAACTTGGCCGTCTTAAAGTCGCGCTACATCAGTACTTCCTTCTGGCTACCTTATAATTGCTGACATCATACTGTATGATACAGGCAGTATATTTCCCCAACATTTCACACATATATTAGCTGCACTCCAACGGCCACATAAACCAGCTGATTTTCTGCTACTCAGATTTTTCTCTACAAATACTTTTGAAAATCATTTCATGGAAATCATATCCACCTCTAAACCAGGAACAAATTCTTGAAACAGCTGCCCCGGTGAGTTTTGTTTTCCAGGATATTTCGATCCAAAATCTCCCTGTAACTCTAAGACAAACAGAGAAATGGCATTGGTTTGACTCAAATGTTCATTTGTCCTTTTAAAGGAGAATTAGAAAATGGTGTAAGATGAACTTACTTCCAGGAGAACATACATTCTCATTTAAGAATGTATGTTCTTCATCCTGGAAGTAAGTTCATTTACAACATTTTCATCATTTAATGAAATTTCCATTTATATGAGGAAAAATATGAAAGCAAGAAATATTGTTAATAAATTGAATCCACATGTAATAATAAAAATATATTAAAAAGCTTTTTTGCCAGTTTGATATTCCAGAGCACTAAGAAGACTTATTCTCAGTGGTAAAGCTTAGAAAGATCCTGTGTTTTATATATTTCTCTCTTCAAATACTTTTGAACATGATTATATCTTTTGTATATATATCTTTTGTTTTATTTTAATCAGTGTAACTTTTACAGTTGATCACCAATAAAGGGTGTTATTAGTTCAAGTTTTGCTGTGGTGGATTACATTCAGAAATGGCAAAGTTTCCTCTGAAGATGATTTGCCTTAGTGTCCTCTAATAATCTCAAACTGGCTACTTAATGTAAGCTGAAACCTGTACAAACTGTATTTTTTTCTTGTGATGTTCCTTTGGTTGTGATCTCGTACAATGACAGCTTATATCCTGAATCCTTGTAAATGTCTAATTTGGATCACAAATTAAAATGTTTTTGCATGTTTTTTTTTATCTTTTCATCCTATTACTAGAAGTGATATCTGATTTTTGTTGCAAGAACAAACATAAATAGCATTATATGGTTGCAAACCTATAACTGAAAGTGTTCTGTAAAATTGAAATCNGAATTTAATAGCTTCGTGAATTAAAGACAAAACCTCATTGTCGAGTCATTCCTCTCTTTGGCAAGCGACTGTTAGAATTAAATTAAATATTTCTAGACTCCTCCATCCTGGAAAAAAGCGATAATATCCGTTATACCTAAACCAGGAAAGGATAAAAGTGAATGTAGCTCATACCGGCCTATCTCGGTCTTGAACATTGATTATAAAATATTCACTTCAATTATTGTCAGTAGACTAGAAAATATCATCCCCGAACTGATTGATACAGACCAGATAGGATTTATTAAAAATAGACGTACACAGGATAATGTGAGGCGAACGTTACAATTACTCGACATCATGAACAGAAATAATTTGAAATCTTTAGCAATCAGTTTTGATGCTGAAAAAGCGTTTGATTCTGTAAGATGGGAATACTTATATCTGGTCCTACACCGGTTTGGCTTTAATAATACACTCATAAGTTGTTTAAAATCAATATACAGTTCGCCAGTAGCCCGGATCAAAATAAATGGTGGCCTTTCAGGAACATTCCCTCTGGAACGAGGATGCCGGCAAGGATGCCCTCTGAGTCCAATTCTTTTTGCACTTTTCATAGA